GTAACCTCTTTTCTACAGAATTACTTTAAGAAAATTTCAAAGTTCAGAATTGGGCATTACTCTTTGCAATAGCAAGAGTAATGCCTCAGTACCACACATACTTCTTGGCTAACAGCCTAGTGAAATTGAAGTCAAGGGTTAAAGGGTTAAATTTCTGATGCGTCTTGTTGGGCCAAGATTCAAGTAAACTATACATAAGATTATTGTTGTTGTTTATTTACTGTTTCTTTCACAGAAAAAAAAAAAAGGAAAGATATGGTAGAGCTCATCAAACTCACTAAGAGATTCTCCATTTTAAACAAGTTTCTTTCTCAACTTTAGTAAATGAAAGACAAAAAATTGATTTGAAAACCTTCGCAGAAGTGCCTCCCCCACCCCACTTGCTGCTAACAAAGGTACTTGAACTAGTGCCATCTCACAAACAACTGTCAGATGTTTCAAACCCACACAGTTCCTCAGGGCATTCAGTACATTTATACGAATCAAGGACATTGGGTATGTGCTTTGGATCAGAGGGTTGATAATATGCATACTGAATGCATCTCAGACATAAAGGATCTCATTTATGTTCTCAGGGTATAGTGCTTCAGGCACAAAACAAAGTATTTTCTCTGGGATTCAAGCTGCACATACCTCCCTATGCACAGCCTCTTTTTGCAATGTATTCTCACTGTATCTGAGACAGTGTACATAGTCCCTACCATGTTTTTGATCAATACACGCACTACACACCATATGGAGATTATTACAAAACAATATAATAATAAATACATAAAAATTAAAAAATAAAGCTTTTGTTCAGAGCTCATTCAAAGACTGAACTTTTAAATACTGTAGGCAATGTCTACTAGTTAAGCAGTTCCTATTAATAATTACTAATTTTAGTGAATCTGACAATTAGTAATTATCTTTACTAAACACTTAAAGAATTCCTTACAAACTTTGAGTGTCTCAAATAAACCACCAACAGCAACCATTTAATCCATTTAAACATTTCAATCTCAATGTACAGTACACGAGCACATATTCTGAACATGAGATCTATAAGCTGAAGGAAAAATGAAATTTCAGTGGTTACCATCAATTTAAGTCTATATTAATGCTGTAGATTTTCTTCAAGTACTTGCTTAAATTAGAGTTGACACCTATTTCAAATCATGCATTTCTGAAATCCTTATTAATAAGTCACCACTATTTTAAAATATTCATCGCCAAAATTAGGTCAGATGATTAAGGGATTATTCCTACAAAGCTTGAAATTTAGAGTGTCTGAACACCCACATTTTCAGTGACTTAAGTGGAACTTCCTTGAAAGCTACATGATCTCGTGGATTAAGGTTAGGCCTGGGAGCCATAAAGTTCTGAGCTCTGTTTCCTCTTATTTACTTACATTACATTACATTAACAATTTTTTGTACTTGACATTATTACTATTTAGTCTGAAATCAGGTTTATATATATTTATATTTATATGACTGATTAGGACACTGGAAAATTTATGATGTTAAATGATATCCTGAAGGTGTGAGAAACAACATAGCAAATTCACCTCTAGCATTCTGTATTCTCTTCAATATCAAAGTGTGCATGTAAGTGCGTGGTGCAAGAGGTGGGAGAGAAGAATGGGGACCCTTCTAATTCTGAATCTCTGTTTATGTCCCACCAAAATCAAACAAAAAAGAAAGAAAACATCATTTGAGCATTCAAAATAAGTGTACATTTAGTAGAAAATTAGTGGTGGAAGACTGGCGAAATAAAGTGCCGATCTGTACAAGGCTTACAAATAATAGATATATTTAATATTGAAAATATCATGTACTTCACAAAGAACCTATGAACTGTCTAGGCAGACCTTTTAAAAATACGGACATTCCAAAAATATATTAATTTACATTTCAAACTTTGACATAAGAATTTTTTTCTCTGAGCAGTATTTTTATTGAAGATAAGAATGTGACATACTTCTCCCCATCACCTCACACTTTTTCTAATCTCTTCATGGAGCCAAAAGGATTTCCACTAAACTTTTCCTGCTTATACTAACAAGATCCTGAATTCTACAATAATATTCCCCTTCCTTTTGCAGTAGCCAATTTCTTCTTCTCCAAAAGGTCATTACTGAGTTACAGGATGTGTTCCTGTCCCTCTTAGGGTTTATACATAATACCTCATAAACATAAAATTAAATGGATACTGTGGCTAGATGACATATTTCAATAACAGGAGATTATTAAATTGAGAATTGCTATCTATTTGGTATATTCACAGATTAAATAAATATGCTGTACAAAACATAACATTTACAAAATACACTAACAGACATAAATATATATACACACAGAGAGCAACAAATTGTATGTACATACAGACAAATACATAGCACATTATAAATATAGATTAATGCACTTTAGAATATTTAAACTGAATAATTTCTGACAAATGATCTAATCTACCAGGAAGGTTTAAAGGTTCCACATAACTACACATGTAAGTATGCCCTTACTGCTGACCTTACAATGCACTTAGTATCTTGTACTTCACTAATGCTGTTTCTACCACTACAAGCAATTTATTCTACCTCACGTTCATCAAGTGCTCATAAATCAGCATTAGGCCACTTTTTTTTACTGAGTTGCTGATTTTTAGCCAGCAGACATCAGCAGCAGTTGAATTCAAAGCCTAATATTGGCACACATATTGATTTTAATTAGTCTAATTAGTTCATTACACTAAAAATCAAACAGACCATTTATTACATTCCCAACTAATGACATATGATCAAGGATTTAATATGATAATGAGCAAGATCAATTATCACTCATAAAGGAAGTCATTAACAAGTGTAAACACTGCCAAACTGAATACCATTACAAATTATGAAGTCATAGCTAGGTCATTTGCATAAGCATACTAATTTTATTTCCTGATATTCCTTCCATTTAATACTCTGACTACCTTTCATAAAGCTCCTTTTTTTTTTTCATGAGATTTGATTCATTGCTGTAAACTCAATTCTTACTGTCAGTAATACAATTGTTCACTACATAGTCCTTAAACTCTGTGCTATTAATTCAAGGTTCAAGCACACCAGACGATGTCTATGGACTCTCAGAAAATATTATGGAATATTACAAGACGGAAGTGAGGTTTCCAGCTGTATCAAAGCAGATCCAGGACTATTTGTCTACTGGGGAAAATTTAAGAACTACCTTCTTTGTGGTCTGGAATATTTCACACACAAAATTGAGCGTATGATTGAAGTCTGTCCTGCCCCTGTTGTTTAGCAGTATTAAAAGAAGGAATCAACATCCACCAGGGCATTTTCACCTTACTGTAGAAACTGCAGAATTAAAATTTTTAAAATAAAATATACAACTTGAGCTCTGAATAGTTAAATATTCTGTTCTCTTTAAAGTCTCAGTACTTAATTCTATTTGAATTTCTGCAAGGTCCCTGTCACAATCATTATCTATTCAGTATCTTACAGTAACATCCAAGATGTCAATCAAAATCATAGCGATTATACTTTCTATTATAGGAGAATTATATCTACATATGCACAACAATCAAGAATGTAAAGTATAATACATCAATTTGCAAAAATTACTTTTCTCCCATTTTAGTTTATAAAGGTTACTTTGGAATACTTTTACTATGCACATCCCTATACCAGATTTTATTCATTTGCTGTATTTTTTATAAGAAAATGGAAGAAGTCTCCATTCTGTTGAAGATTTTTAAAGAAAAAGCTATAAATCCCACCAATAGCCCAGTGACTTGATGTTTAAATTCCATGGGTAGAGGGAAAATTGAATTTACTAATACTCAGATTAGAACTTCATGCAAGAAGCAAAAGCTTTTAAGTGTAAAACTAAATTTTTAATTCAAAAGATACCTTGCATATTGTGAGGATAATAGTCTAGAAGCAGCACATTATTAATAGATTTAACAGCGTTCAATCTATATCAAGGTGATAGGCAACTCTAGGTATGTTTGTATGCTCATCAATAACAGAAAGCTATACCTTCAGATTCTTTGATTAACTTTCTTACAAGGCCTCAGTCTTGGATAGCGTCATCAAAAAATATTCTGCACTTTGCAGGAATAAACTCAATGTTGTCAAATTCTAGTTTTTCCATAACACATATTAATATATAGGTGCTTGTTCCTTCTACTAAATTTCAACGTAAATAAATACGCATTAATAATTCTTAAGTTAGTGCATCCCTGTACCAAATAATTCAGGAAATGTGCAAAACATGAAAAAAACTAGCTACATAACTTTGCAATCATAAAGATTGGAACAGCTCTTTAAGGCACTGCAGAGCCAAAGCTGCCACATCCACTATCCATCTCCATTTAGTTTGAGATTGGTAGAAGTTAACTGATATATAGCTGGGTCATTAGCTGTTTCATGACTTCAGGTTTTATGTGCTTACATGCATTAGAGCTTATAATTTTGTATATATTTTTGCTTAGTACTTAATTGGATATATTCTGGATTCTGCTATTTAAATAACCAGGTCACCGATTTTATTCAATACATACTTTCTTAATGTCATTTTTATTCTACTACAAGTCCACTTTTTTTTTTTTCTTTTTTTTTTTTCCACACTTTTTGTTTTTCCTTTCTTCTCACTTCTACTCATTTGATCATCCCTTCCACTTCTTTACTCTGAATCTTTACTCCATTTACTCATTACTCCATGCCATTTTTTCTCTCTCTCTTTTCCTAACACATCTCTGTCCCTTAGCTGCCAAATCAGTTTGTGCTGGCTTTAAATACAAATGAAAAATTGTATTGAATTTAAGTATATGTTTATATGTACACCAGAACACTATTTAGATGTCACAATTAACACTGAACTAATTACTGGCTACTATTCTATACAGTATTTACAGGAAAGATTTAGAATAAAGATTCATAACACCTTTTTTGTTTTGTTAATAAATGAATAAATAAACAGACAAATAAATAAAAGCTATCAGTTATCACTTACCACCATAGGAAGGGAAGCTCTGTGCCATGGTCACAATGACAGATGTACAGTCTATTTCGCTCTGACCTAGAGAACGAAAAACAAAATATCACCGTACAGTTCAGACTGACTAAACAGAAAACAAAAGGTGGGAACAGTACTTAAGTAAAGAAAATAGAAATAAATTCTGACAGATTAAATGTAATACATAAAAATGTAATACATAAAAATACATAAAAACATCTTAACTAGTAATGAAATCTAAAGATTAATATTTATTTCCAAAACATCAGGAAACAAAACTCCGTCAGGGAGATGGTAGGACCAACTGACAACCTCAGAGTCACTGCACAGAAGCTAAATGAGGTCTCTGTACTAGCATTCACTGTGGAAGAAATTGAGGAGATGACTGTATTGGAACCATTTGGGGGCAGAATGGGCTGCAACAGATTGTCTGTCTGAAATTGAACTGTGAAAGCAGTTGCGGTACAAACAGGCATAATGGACCAGACACCATAACCACCTTAACCCGACATCGTAAGAGACAGTATGCATCCACATACCCACATGCAACTCAGGGAGGAACAACCTGAATTAATAATGTTAACCTCTTGTTCTTCCTTAGTACAGAATGCAAGGTATCAAAAGCAATGACTATATATATAAGGGGCACCAGGGGACTTTGAGCAACCACACATCCATAAGCCAGAAAGTATATTGGACACATTAGCAGAGGAGGTAATCGAGTTCAGAATCAGTGAACATACATATGGATTATTTGAGCCTTTTTTCCTCCTTCCCAAGCACCTCCCAATCTGTTTTGGAGAAGAACATTGAATTAAACAGACTCCTTTAACTGATATGACAATTCTTATGTTACAATACTCATTCATCCACACCCATATATTCTGATTCCACTGCTTTCCATCTTAAAATAATATCTAATATTAAAAAGTGTGAAGAAAGGATAAACAAGGTACAGAACATCTTCCAGACAGCCAGAGATAAATACAGCTTGCCTCTGGAAAAGAGGCAACTCGGAAGAGATATGACAAAGACCTATAAAGTCACAAGTAGTATGAAGAAAGAGAGAAAGTATTTTACTTATATCAGAAGAATTAAAATACTTCAAAGGAAATCATCAAAATGATAGATTCAAAACAAGGAAATACTATTTATTTCCTTGTAATATTATACAATAATATTACTTGTAACTAAGATGAATGTTGTCAGGAGTTCAGAGAATATTAACAAAAATAATATATATATGCATATATGCTTGTATTATTCTAATATTTCTAACATTAGAATTAATATTAAGAACTAATATAATATTAAGAACTAATTATTAATTAATTAGTTCTAAACTAACTATATTAATTAATATTAAGAACTAATATATTCTAATATTTCTTATATTACTTATAGCCCTTTACTACTGGTCACAGTTTTAGACAAAGTATTGCCTGGATGGATTTGGGGTGTGGTCCAGTGAGACAACTCTTAAGTTTAGAGACCAAAGACATGGCCTTTCAGTACAGGCCCTAGAGTTTTAATTGTTATTTTAAAAATGCAGGTTAGTATGACTCTAAAATATAAGGCTGTTAGGATTCTACTCTCATTAAATTTTCAGGATTTTTCCCAAACCAGACATCTAACTTGATTATTAAGTTGAGACTGTATTGCAATGCTTTTAATCCTTACTTCATGAATAAATGCTGGAGATTTCATTTCTAAGAATTCTACTGATATTCCTATGGCTCTAGCAGCAGGGATCTCTAGATATCCAGTCTAAAAGACTTAATGGGTCATGTATAAATTGGAAAAAAGATATGAACGATTTAGATAAATTTTGTGACCAAAAGCTATCTCCTTTTGGTAAACCATGCAAAACTAGTGTTCTGCATAAAATAATTTTAATATGAATACATGTTACACACATAAATGAGAAAAGCATTAAGAAAAGAATGGTTTTACTAACACAGTACAATAAGGGTAACTGGCAGAATCAGAGCCTGTAATATACTTTCAGTATATTCTCACTCATAACTTAGTTTGGGATGGACATTTTCAGGTCGGCTAGCTCAGCCCTGTGTTTAAAATGGGGCTAACTTCAAAGGTAGGTGAGGCTGCCATATTCGTCAGACATTCCACTAAGAAAGTAGAAATCCTGAGTGCAAACTGTAGCATGACAAATCTTAGAATAAACAAAATAAGAAAGAGTTCTGGGGTGGGAGAACAGATTCTCACTAGGTCTTACCACTAGAATGAGATGACTCATATGTGGAGAAATGAAAAAACAAAAGGTCTGAAACAAGGAAAGGATATTGATTAGCACCCAAAGCATTTTTGCATCTGGCAAGTAAACCAGGGAAAGGAATTACATGTAGATGTTTTTAAGGTTTTCCATTGATCTATAGCACTCCTGAACCTTTTATTGATGCTGATGGCACTTCACTGCAGAGCCAGTATGTTCCTTGCTTTAACTGTTATATGATCCCCGGACAGTTAGACTGTAAACCAGAAGTGCCCAGAAGGTTGGAGTGCAAGGGTCAATGTACTCAAGCCAGTACATTCAATGCTAGTCTTAGGTGCTAGGGTAATTGGGATACAAGCCACGTATTTCAAGATAAAAGCATCAAACTCTGCACTTGGGCAGAATGTTCTTTAGAGGCCATGCTTAGAGGTAGCATCCCTAAAGTACATATAGTATGGATATTAAAACTGAATAACAATTTGATGACCATTGGCAGCAAAGAGTTCCATCAACCCCTTAATAAACTTTTAACAAATCCTCCTTTTTAACCTGTTTTAATAGCTTTTTTATTTCAAGAAATAATTATATGGGGAATAATTTACCAGTGAATTGCTTTTCCAGTAAGAGGCTGAAATTACATATAATGATTAGCAATTGATATTACAAAGTATTTCACATGCTAACATCCTTTATTTCAGGTTATATTTTTTAAAAATCCATGATTTTCATGTATGTTACCTGACATTGTCTGTCTTTAAACCAGCTTTTCTTCAAAGAGTTGGCAAAATAGAAGGCTAAGGTCAGTCAGATCACTTGCTGTTTCAGCAAATTGCTTAGAAGCTTCAAATTCTTGGGAGATTTTACTCCACTGATTATGAGGAAAACAAAGTAAGGATAACAACTTTGAAAGGAATACCAAGTCTGATACTTGCTTTCAAGAAAGAAGAGTAGGCCTATGACACATAATGGATGGCCAAAGGCAATGTTTTCTGATTCCACTGACCTTTCAACACTCTATGGACAGGATGTATAAATCTAATGATTAAGTCACGGGCTGCTAGACTAGACAGTAGAAGACTGCTTTTTATAGGAAATAAAGTGAAAGACAGCAAATTAGTAATATAATATGGAATTTCACTCAATAGTGCAATTTGAATGAGCATTTCTATGAAGTTTAAATATTTGTAATGGTAAATAAAGATTTATTTTTTTTTAACTGTCTAACAGACCAACTGCTTTTACAGGAATTCAAATAATTAAAAAATGATGAGTTATAGACTAGATGGTAAAAAAAAAAAAAGTTTTCGAATGTATCATACATTTCACTAACTATGTGACTGATTAAATCTACACACTTCATCATACTTGTATCCTGCCAGTTGATTAGCAGCATCATTAGTCAGTAACTCATATTTTGTTCAATGCTAAACTTAAAGTATGTATTGATTTTTTTTTGTTAAAATTTCTAGTATTACACATATTAAAATGCAAAAAAAAATGTAAATTAAGTTTCTTGTAATATAAGTAGTGCTTTTAACATAATTTCAAGGGCCGAGAACTTAGGCGTTTATTTTCTCAGTTTATTGAAATTATTGTGTAACTACACTCAAGAGATCTTTGATTCTATTCTGATTACTGGCACAGCTTCAATAGTGAGAGTGATACCAACCTATAGAAGCTTGTCCTGGTACAGTGCATAAAGTGTAGGTCAGCTGGGAAACACACTGTGAATCCTGTCAGAAAAAGAAAGAAATTGAACTTAAGTTTCCTCATGTTTTAAGTACTTTAATATAAAACAAATTACCTTTATTTACATATTTATTAGTTATTTAGTTAAGTCCGCTGGTATCTTTTGAACAATATTTACATAACTGCTTTTACAGCAGTACAGCAACCCTAAACAACTAAATGCTAAACTGACACTCCAATTATCCAATAAGAAATCGCTAAAGCCCCTTTGTAAGCCCACTCTTATCTTTTTTTCCATACAATTAAAAAAAAAAAAAATCACATCTAAGTCAAAGGTCCTCTCCTCTGCCTCTCCTCTGCCTTTATTAGCACTTCACCACCACCCTGGCTGCCAAGAGTTGTAAGGCAGTAAAAAACAAATGGTGCTAAGAAGGCTGAGAAAGACTACAGGCAGAAAAGAAGCCTAGAGAAAAACCCACAAACTCTTGGGGTTGGATTTAAAACCAAAATTCTGTCAATGCATCCAGGCTTGAAAACTGCAGGGACATGGGAGTACTGTTTTGCTTTATCACAGAAGCCATTCTCATGGGCTTAAATGCTGTAGCAAGAACCAACAATGTTGGAAAGTCTAGGGAGACATTACCTGTTTTTCACCACGTTGATGGTTTCAACCAAAACAAAGACTACTTCTGTGTTTAACCATGACAACACAGAGGTAACATGCTGAAAGCCACTCCAAATAAAAACAACAAAAAATATCTTAGGTTTAACAAATATCAGATTTATAAATAAGGAATGCCTCAAAAAGAAACTGTTTTGAATCATATCAGTGTATCATGGCATAAGATGCTTTTATGTTAGCCATCTTCTCTGAACAAGTTCAGTAGCTAGCCAGCAGTTTATCTAATCAAAGTTGAGGTACAGATCCTAACTCTCATCCAGCTTTTACAGCCAGATGATCTGAAGGACCAGGTGCTTTGTCTATGCCATCTGAAAGACAGAAAGACAGTGACAGACTCAACTTTTTAATACCTTCTGAATACCTTCCCTAGTAATGCGAACCCTAACATATAAACTAAAATCTTTTTTTTCCCTAAGCTATCTTCTAGATAGAAACAATAGAAAAGTTCTGAATGGCATCAGCACTGTTCTTCATTCTAGGACTTTTAAACTGCGTCTGGCATCCATTACTGAACAGCAGGCTGTTAACACTGTCTCCTGCAAAATTCTTGTATCCAATGTAAGATGTTAGTCTGGATGCATGGACAACTAGATGAATTTAAAAGCCAGTGGGACAGTCAGGCTGAGAGGAAAGGGGTTAATGCGCCAAACTACCGTAGGCCAGTAAGTAACGATGGAACAACACAGAGGTATGTATTGTGACCTCTTCTCTTTAATTCTTCTCTTTAATACCTCAATGACTCAAACAAGACAACAGAGTTCATTCTAATCAAGTCTGCAGATGACACTAAACGGGGGGGGGGAAGGGGAGATTTGTGGATATGCCTAAAGGTATGGCTGCTGTTCAAAGGGACCTGAACAGGATGAAGGAATGGACAAACACAAGTCTTAAGGGTATTCAAGGACAAAGGCCAAGTCCTTGGAAAGAACGACCCCTTGCACCATTACTGTCTGGTATTGGACTGCTTGGTGATCAGCTATCCTGGAAAAGACCTGCTTTGGGAACCAGCAAGCAGAACATAAGCCAGCAGTGTGTCCTAGCTGCAAAGGCAGCCAACATCATTCTAGGCCACATGGAGTACAGCTAATAGATCAGAGAAGTGATTAATCCCCTTCAGCACTTGATCTCAGTACTTGCTAGCTGTTATCTAGAATACTGCATCCTATTTTGCCAACTATCCTACTACAGGAAAGTGTGGTGGTTTTACTCAGGTGGGCAGCTGAGTTCCACCATGGCCGCTCTATCACTCCCCCCTCCTCAAAGAGGAAGGGGGAGAAAATACAACACAAAGAGCTTGAGGTTTGAGATCAGAATGATTTAATTAAAGGGAAAGGGAATGGGGAAACCAAACCAAACCAAACCAAACAAACAACAAACAAGGCCACGCGGAAGCACAGAGAGAAAGGAAAAAAAGTTATTCTCTACTTCCCATCAACTAGCAATGTTCGGCCACATTCTGGGAAGTGGGGCCTCAAAATACGTAACGGTTGTTTGGGAGGACAGCCTCCTTCCCCACGGCAGCCCCCCTTTTTATTGCTGAGTGTGACATCAGGTGTTATGGAATATCCCTTTAGTTGGCTTAGGTCAGCTGCCCCAGCAATGTCCCTTCCCCATCACTTGTCCACCCCCAGCCTGATGCTGTGCCAGCACTATGCAGCAACAGACCCAACACTGGAGTGATACCAGTGCTGTTTCAGCTATAAGCACAGAGCACAGCACTGTGTAGGCTGCTGCAGGGAAAGGTGACTCCATCCCAGACAGACTCAGCACAGAAAGCCACTGATAAACTGGACCAAGCTCAGTTGAGGGCAACAAGATGCTGAAGCACATGCTCTGTGACACGAAATGTACATTTAAGTTGAAACAAAAAAGGTTGTTGTGGTTGTTTCACATTGATGGGAAGCTAAACTTCAACAGACCACTCCTACACTTCCCCTCTCAAAGGAAGAGGTGGAAAAAAATTGATGAAAAAGGGCTCAAGAGTTGAGATAAGGGTAAGGAGATTGCTCACTAATTACTGTCAAAAAAAGCGGTGAGAAATTAAAAGCAAACTAAAACCACCTTCCCCCCATCCATCGTCTTCTACATGCCCTCTCTGCCCCTCCCCCCCCCCCCTCCCCTGAGCAGTGCAGGGGAATGGGTGTTGCAGTCAGTCCATAACACCTCATCATCTGATGCTCTGTCATAGCCACTCGTCCCCCAATCCACATGGGGTCCCTCCAACGGGTTGCCATCCTTCTTGGACCGATCCTGTGTGGGCTTCCCCACAGGCAACAGCTCTTTAAAAACTGCTCCAATACAGGTCCATACAACAAGGTCCATCCCTCAGGAGCAAACTGCTTCAACATTGGTCCCCCAGAGGTGGCAGCTCCCTGCAAATCCCCTATTCCTGTGTGGGATCCTCTCATGCTACAGAGCTGATGCAGAGCCTGATCCTGCAAAGGGTCTCCACAGCCTGCAGCTCTGGCCCAGTGCCTGCTCCTGCAGGGGCTCTCCATGGGCTGCAGCCTCCTCCAGGCCACATCCACCTGCTCCGCCAGGGGCTCCTCCACGGGCTGCAGCATGGAGATCTACTCCATGTGGGACCCATTGGCTGCAGGGGGACAGCCTGCTCCACCAGGGGCCTCTCCGCAGGTCACAGGGGAACTTCTGCTTTGACACCTGGGGCACATCCTGCCCTCCTTCTGCACTGACCTTGGTATCTGTAGGGCTGTTTCTCAATCTTCTATCCCAGCTGCTTTCGAGCTGGTGGTTTTTTTTGTTGTTGTTGGTTTTTTTTTTTGTTTTTTTTGCCTGCAGTGGGTCTCTTTTGGAGCTGGCTGGAACTTGCTCTTATCTGACATGGGGCAACTTCTGGGCTCTGCTCACAGAGGCCACCCCTGTGGTTTCCCCTCTACCAAAACCTTGCCATGGAAGCCCAATGCAGCTGTGACTAAGGAATTTTTTTTCACCTAAAATTTATTTTCACCCAGTCAAGAACTGGCACAGGTTGCCCAGAGAAACTATGCAGACTCCCTCGTAGGAGGTTTTGGAGTCCAGACTGGACTAAGCCTGACTTACAACATACCCTGCTTTGGGCAGGGAGTTGGCCTCTTGAGGTCCTTTCTACCCTGAACTACTATATAATCCTATCATAATTCCTCAGTTAGAAATTGATCTACATGATTATTCTCAAGACCTAAAAATTTGCAGTAGGCATCAGAAGAGCATTTCTGTGTAAATACTATTTCCATTCATTCACTTCAGAGGGAAGAAATATTTTCACTAGAATTTTTACTAAAAACCCTTTTCCACTATGTTTTTTTGGTTGTCTACTGACTTGAACAAAGCTTGAAATGGCCTAATGCATAATCTGTCAAATAACATCACAAATGTGCAAGCTATCTTAAGCCTCCAGAGACTAGTTAGACTTTTGTAAGCATTCAGCTGTGTACCATAGACATTTTGATTAAGACGCTAAAAAGATGCAAAAAGAAAAGTGCTCTGAGTCTTTCAGTCACAAGGATGTTAAAAAATAATCTGTCAGTGTTGGAGACTTGCCTTTGATGACAATATTTCATCATCTTGTGTGTTAGTACTTCATAGAACAGAAATAACGTAGCCACTGCATCTGCCTTTTTGTAACACATGCATTTCCTTAAAAGATTGCATTTTTTGTTGTTGTTGTTGTTTGTTTGTTTTTCCCATGTTAATTTTTTGAGTGACAGGACAACACTGCACCTTTGAAAATACATAGCCAAATGAGATTAACAGAAAGACTTTTGTTGTTGTTCTGTTTTGCTGGTTAGGTTGGTGCTGGTGGTTTTTCAAGACATCTTTTCACTGTGATTCCATTTTACAGAGCAAACTGTGGCTTCTGGAAATGAATCAAAAAATTTATTTGTACTTTCCCAGCTATATGCCTGGTCTTCACTTACATGCAGTCCACTAGTTGAAATTTATACTAAACAGGCATTCTGGAAAATGTAAATCCTGACAGAAACAGAAAGTATATATATAAATAAAATGTCTAAATTATCTTTATTAACCTTAGTCTGTACTTCAATCTTCTATCTTCATAGCAATTATTAGAATTAATTTACCTTAATAACTCAAAGTACCCTTTAGTGCCTTGACATATTCTTTTGTCTCCAACAAGTTAGAGAGAAAAGTTTGATTAGAACCTGTCAAAACATTACTTAATAAAATAGTACAGCAAGGTATGATTTACTAAATGGCACCTATTATAAATTAGCTCTGCATCTGTATAATATAAATGAATTTGTGGACCTAGGTTGACATCAGGGTATATGAAATTAAATATCTTTATACCAAAGATATAATTACACAGAACATAAACTTAATAGTGAGACAAACAAAATT